AAGGGGATAGGGGATTGGGGAGCGGCCCGCCTTTCTTTGGGGAGTATTTTCCACCCATCAGGCTTTTGGCCTTTCTAACTGATTATCAAGATTGGTCGTAAGCATATTTGTTGGGTATATACATGCTGAGCCTCCTACAGGCAGCCTCCGGCGAAATTCCTATCATCAGTTACGTCACCTTCATTGTGGCAACCGTTCTTGACTTGTGGCCTTTGCCTACTGCAAACCTATGTACGTCTCCAACTAAGAACTACATGCGGCGTCAATAGGTGAATGGGGTGTATTATTCGTACATGTATTATCATCCCAAGTGTTTGTTATAGCCTGATCATCGCCTGGGTGATAAAGCTTGAATCCACTGCGCCGCGTTGTGTTAAAGTGCGCGTCTTTTGACTTCCGCAGGATATTGATCAACAACTTGCGTAGCATTATTGCTAAACTGATGCCGTATCAGCCTTATATTTTCTTCGTTGTGTTCCTTAGGTACCTAGCCTTGTAGTATATTGGGCTTCGACTATATCATTCTCATAGAGGTTTAACCTCGTCAGTTTATCGATCATCCTGAATACTACAAGGCAAGTCGCTACTTGAACAGTATCTTTTACGAGATACATATTTCTAGCCAGAGACGACCACGTTAGCACCATACTTAATAATTACTATTTCATTGAATAATAATGAGTCTAACGCCACCCAAGGTCTACACCTGCTCATGATACTACCGTGCCAGTCAACGTTCTCTTAGCCTCATTGCCTTCTTCTCAGCTCAGCGTGTCAGTTCGAAGGAACCACTCAGATGTTCTCTCTCCTGTTGACAACCTTCTTGGTGGAAATCACCAAACTGGTCTCCAAACTCCAGCAGTCCCAGCAGAAGGCAAAACGGGAGCTTCCATCGTTGACACTACAAAAAGGCGCCCTTCAGTCGAGAACGCGGTATTGAGTGTGGGAACTCATTTCAGCGGCACCAAGACGAAAGCTGTTAATGCTGATAAGAATGAAACTTGAAAGACTACAGTCACGTGGCTAATTTTTATATCTACGCTTTATGGCTGGTGTTCATAATATAGGCATGCCCTTGGGCCAGGTCAAAGTTCTCGGCAACCACCCTAGGCACACTATTCTATCCTATCTACATATTCCACCGCATTTCACTACCCCGTTCTATTTTTTGTTCACCTTTCTTAGGTTACATGTGGCTTTGGATTTTTCTTTCTTTGGGCAATGTGACCCTTTCAATGATATGTACTACGATGATCCGATATTGACCGGCTATAGAATGTTCAAGACAGAGGTTTGCGATGTCGTGCTAAGATACGGATACCCGAAAAAGATCGTTTTTATTCGGTTTTATATTAATGCACTCGATCGTCGGTCAGTTATTAATAGATTCTGATTCTGGTATTTCGGGTCCATCAAGGGCTGCCTCAATAAATTATTCAGTATTAATTATTTCTAGATCTGCTAGTGCTTCCCATGCTACCACCGAGGCCCCAATGTCTTTTGGAATTTGTAGTGATAGAGCTGATCTGGACTAGGTTGACTTGAAGTTACAATCTCCAAATGAGGCTCTGTAACGTCGGTCGTATTACGTAGGTACGTTCATGGGATTTCCAATCAGATCTCATCTCCTTGCGCGTTAGCTGGGATACTATGGGTGGCACAGCACAAGCCCTTTCCGAATCAATACCTACCTCTATATATCATTCAGGGAAGTGGTTCGCCAGTCGCTTTACGCATAACTCGATATATAAAACGTAATCCCTACGTATGTACAGCCAAGAAACCAGGATACTAGCCCCATACTCGGCTATCTACCCTGCTACCCCAACTTTAAGTCTGGCACGGAATAGCTTATTCTGTTTGGAGGATCTTCATTTCCGAATCTGCGGGGAAGACGGAGACACGACTCCACGGGTTCGTGTATAGATATACCGAAAATACCGCAAATTGGAATGCCACGCCAATTCTCCATGGATAAGATCTGCTAACTCATAGCCCCCGAATTTAGCCTAAAGACTTTTATTCATTAACCTAGCTCTTGGGGAATGGGGTCTATAACCTCCCCAGATAAGGTCCCATTGTGCTGGGTAGGCGTCATGTATAAACACGGGGACCCCAATGTCTGCACATTTCTAGGTGTAGATCTCTGTGCATACCTAGATCGCGGTAGATTAGGTCAGGTACAGTAGAATGCGCGGACTCTGGTTTTTGGCTACTCTCAGCCTTGTGGCTGCAGAGGATGGGCTCAACGCGTGGTTACGATATGCTCGATTGCCATGTGATATCGTTAAACAGGCTGCTGTTCCTCCTAACATTGTCGCCCTTAACACTACGGAAATAAGTCCCATCTATGTCGCCGGTCGGGAATTGCAAAAAGGCATCAAAGGGATCCTTGGTAAATCACTTAACGTGACGCATGAGACAAGCGAAGGCCCTTCCATAGTCGTCGGAACCATCGCTGCCTTTAACGACTCGGGCATCTCGATCGAAACACCTGAGCTCGAGGAAGATGGCTTCTGGCTTAGTACTAAGGGCGACACGGTCGAAATCGTGAGCCAGAACGAACGCGGTGCGCTTTATGGTGCATTCGAGTATTTGTCTATGCTAGCCCAAGCGAACTTTACAGAGGTCGCTTATGCGACAAGTCCCAGCGCAGCAATCCGATGGATAAACCAATGGGACAATATGGACGGAACTATCGAGCGTGGTTACGCTGGCCCGTCTATCTTCTTCAAGGACAACGCTCTGGTCTCTAATGTAACGCGGGTCGCCGAATATGCCCGTCTCCTGGCTTCGATTCGCGTTAATGGAATTGTCATTAATAACGTCAACGCAAACGCCACGATCCTAAGTGACGCGAACATGGCGGGACTGGCTAAGATTGCAGACGCAATGAGACCATGGGGCGTTAAAATCGGGATCTCGCTCAACTTTGCGTCGCCACAGACGTTTGGTGGGTTGAATACCTTCGATCCCTTGGACAAGTCCGTCATCGCCTGGTGGACTAAAATCACGGACAAGCTTTACGAACATGTACCTGACCTGGCAGGTTTCTTAGTCAAGGCTAACTCCGAGGGCCAGCCCGGTCCACTTACGTACGATCGTACGCTCTCTGACGGTGCCAATCTGTTCGCAAAGGCTGTCAAGCCGCATGGCGGCATTATCATGTTCCGCGCTTTTGTCTATGATAATCAGCATCTTAACGAGAAGAACTGGAAAGACGACCGAGCGAACGCGGCCGTTGACTTCTTCCGCGACCTCGACGACAAATTTGACGATAACGTCGTCGTCCAAGTCAAGTATGGACCGATTGACTTCCAGGTACGGGAGCCCCCGTCACCGCTCTTCGCGCACCTAAAACAGACGGCATCGGCTATCGAACTTCAGGTTACGCAAGAGTATCTCGGCCAGCAGTGCCACTTAGTTTATCTGCCGCCTCTTTGGAAAGAGATCCTCAACTTTGACTTGCGCATCGATGGCGAGAAATCTGTCATCGGTTCTGATATCCTTTCCGGCAAGCGCTTTAATAAGAAGGGCCTCACGGGTTACGCGGCTGTCGTAAACGTCGGCCAAAATGCCACTTGGCTTGGCACACATCTCTCCATGTCTAACTTGTATGGCTATGGTCGATTGGCCTGGGACCCAACGGTTGATGAAGTGGCTATCTTGGAAGACTGGACGCGGCTAACTTTTGGCTTGGACGATACCATCCGCGAGACTATCACACGCATGTCGATGGAGTCTTGGCCGGCATATGAGAATTACACAGGCAATCTAGGAATCCAGACACTTACGGATATCACTGGACCGCATTACGGGCCGAACCCGCAATCAATGGACAACAACCCGTGGGGGCAGTGGACTCGGGCTGACGCGTTCAGCATCGGGATGGACCGTACGGTTAAGAACGGCACCGGCTACGCGGGCCAATACCCGACAGAGGTCGCCGCTATGTTCGAGGATATTGAAACGACACCGGATGACCTACTGCTGTGGTTCCATCACGTCCCTTACACGCACGTGTTAAAGAACGGCAAGACGGTCATCCAACACTTCTATGATGCGCGTATGTGAATTTCCTCTAGAGTTTCTCTTCATTTCCAAATTGTGGCCTATAGCTTCAACTAGGAATTGCTGGAGAATAAAACTCGAAAAAATCAATCAGTCACTAACTCCGTCGCAGATTACGCAGGCGCCGAGACAGCCGCCACGTTCCCCGCGCAATGGGCCAAGCTGCAAGGCCTAATCGACCAGCAGCGGTTCGACGAGATGGCGTTCCGACTAACGTACCAAGCAGGCCACGCAATCGTCTGGCGCGACGCCATCAACGAGTTCTACCACAACCTATCCGGAATCGCCGACGCGCAAGACCGCGTAGGCAAGCACCCATGGCGCGTCGAAGCCGAATCCATGACTCTGCGCGGGTACCGCGTGACAGCCGTGAACCCATTCGAAGTAGCCTCCGGTCTGCGCATCGTCCAAAGTGTCGGAAACTCAAGCTCAGCAAGCGTGTCCGCCACGCTAAACTACACGGCCGGGACGTATGATCTGGCCGTTGCTTACTACGATCTATACGAGGGCAAGGCGTCGTACGAGCTGTTTTTGAACGACAAGAGTATTGGGTCGTGGGTCGGCGATAACGAGGATAAGCTTGGGTTTACGCTGACGAGGGGCATTGACGGACACTCGGCGACGAGGATCACGTTTAAGGGCGTCGAGGTCAAAGAGGGAGATGTGGTGCGCGTCGATGCTAAGGCTAATGGACGCGAGACGGCGCCGCTGGATTATATCGCTGTCCTACCACCGGGGGTGGTAGATTGATCGCCCTGGTATTTGGCTGTAATATATTTATTGACAGTCCACTATACTTGTTATGTCAATATATAATATATGTTAGCTTTTATGTATATATAAGGACTAAGCATTGTATTATGAAATTCATTTCATCTTTCATCTCAGCTCGTGATTTGATTCATGTAAATGTTGTGGAATAGGTAGGAATTCGTCAATAGTAAACGCCACCGCATGCTTGCGACGATGCCGTGCAGCGCTGAGCTTCAATCCGGAACCAACAATGGCAGACCTGTAATAGTTCAATTGAGGAGAGCCAGCATCAATCGTTATTTCTTGAATACGGCCCGTATGCCATGGGAACTTTGGAGGTGTTAGAACTCAATATCTTAGTTAGTAGCGTTACCAACGCGACCTAGGTCACGCCTCACTCTCCACACTTTTGAGCCGATGCCACGTTTCTGGTTTCCATGTAGCACCTCTACCCACGGCACTGGTGTCGTATCTGTGGGCCCTGCCAAATCATCATTTTCAGCCTCGGAGATATCTCTAGTATCATCACCGGTGTCAATTGTCTCATCCGCATCTGCTCCGTCGTCTGCCTCTTCATGAGCCCGATAATATAGCTCTTCGGTATAAGCCCAGCTCGGCGTATCAAACTTGCCACTAATGAGTACGATTTCCCCCCCTCTCGAAGTAATTTCGTCTATTTTCTCCAGTCGTAAAGGTGTCAAAAGTTGGAGCACACCATTCTTGACGTCGATGCCACGAACAAGGGCTAAACCAAGAGAATAGGAAAGTTTAGGGTTAAGAGTAATTCCGTTCATCGTGTCGATGAATGGAATGCCTTCGGGTGTCATAACAATAACATCTCTAGCTAATGTCGAAAAAGACGAGGACATGGATTTCCGGGGTCCCTCATCAACCCTATCTATATCCATCGTATCAGAAGTCGTATCGCTGGGTAACACAGCGTGGTCATCAGGGCGTCTAAACGCTTGGACGTTTTCGACACCTACAATCGCGAGAATGGTGCCATTAACCGCATCGGCTAATAAATCCATGGGTGTTTGGTAATCATAACACATGATCCCGAATATCCCCCGCCCAGGACCTTTATAGCTGACTTGCCAAGGAGGTACAGTTGTCAGTGGCTTGTTATTCCACCGAACCCAATGACCATCAATAGCAGAGCTTTGTGGTTCTGCATGGAAGTATGACATAGTCTGCATTGAACGGAGATGTGCTGCCGTTCTCGAGGCAAGCTGAGAGGCCTGGGAAGGGAGTGTAGAAAAGGTAGTAGTCCTGCACGATTCCTGCAGCGCCTCTACTACTTCAGCTGGACCGGACTCGGACATATATAGCACTTCGGTAGGCCGTGAACTAGTGATGAGGGATGTAAGAAGGTCAAGCCCTGTCCCTTGGATCCATCCCGGGGTGTTTATGATAAGGGGGTAACGCCCTAGAGCATTCCGATAGTGCGTCATGAGATCCATTGCAGCCTCTAGATACAACTCAGGATCGGAAGCTGGAGATATGGATGCTAGCGCATGAGACCGAACGATCTGTAACTCTGGACAGGGAAGAGGGCGACAGAACGAGGGACTAAACACAGGCTCAGTTAGGAATACAAGAGCAACTTGGCCGGCGACGCAGTATTCAGGTTGTCCTGGGTCAAGGTCAAGCACAGCCACCCCGCGGTGGACTCTGCGTTTGGAGCTACTTGACTGATCCGTGATGAGTCGGTTCGCAAGTAACTTGCCAAATGTGGATTTCCCAGAAGATTTCGGCCCCGTGATCATAAATGAGCTGGGTTTCGAGCTTGAAATATCGACTAATTTAGCAATCTCCCTATTCCACTCTGGTGGGGATACTAAATCTTGCAGCATTGTTTTCTTTGGGCCATCTGCTGAAGTATATAACTATGGGCACCGTCAGCTGCATAGGTAGCTTAGTGAAATACCTCGAGTATCCTTACTATTACAAATGTTGGGTTGGATGAAATGGTGTTGTTTGACGATAGATTAGATTCATTCCAAAGCTTCCTGAACTGAGGAGCGAGCTTCCCTAAACTTCTCAGACTGGTGGCGATTGGATGAGGGAGCAGTTCTAGGCTAGCATCATCTGAGCATCTAAGGACAGGGAGCGCGTGACAATGTGGCGCATTCACCCAATGCACCCTGTCTGACATCCTCAGCATCGCACCATTGAGGGTTATCTCTCCAGATTTCACGCGTATGCCATAGCTGCCGAGAATCACCAAGCGCTGCTATCTGTGAGTTTAGGTTTCTCGAATAATGAGCAGGGGAAGCAAACCTCTCCATCAGATAGCTTTAACAGTATCCTCCCATCTTTTCGTTTTTGGTAGTTGCTTTTGGATGGCTTAAATTTAGAGAGCTGGACTGGCAATGCATTGGTCGGCTTCACCAGTATCTCATCATCAGCTATAGAAGGCGAGGGACTTCTAGATGGAACAATGAGAGAGCTAGGGAGAACGGTATTATCTGTTGAGAGAGATAAATTTCCAGGTAATGTGCCCTTCAGTCCGATACTGGGTTCGTTATCAACACTCGGCAGTGAATGAACGTTTAGGGTCTTCCTTGTCTTCTTTGGACTTCGAGTCTTGCTAGTCCCCGAAGTATCTAATGTTGATGGGACTTTGGGGACTAATATAGTCTCATCAGCTGCGTCCACGTTCGGTGATGTAGTGGCAGTTTGCTGGTTTAGAAGTCTTTTGCGAAGAGCAAAGGCGCTCATGGCTAGTGAGATATAAGCATTCATCCACTTATAAAAACCATCAATAACAACGATATAGGGATAAACACACCTGGTGGAGGTTCTGATATATTTAGCTTCCTCTTTTTATTCATAGCCATCGCGCCTCTTAGCCATTAAAGCTTGTAAGAAAATATGAGACGTTGTTGAGTTGGTATTAATTATTTGCCAGCTGATGCAAGATCAAGATGGGAGTTCCACCAAGTTAATAAAAGTTCCTCTCTCCCAGATTACCTAAGGTCATTGATCAAAGTATCCAGGTACCTATTGCCCCACATCACCCCGGCCCCGCGACTGCCCTGATAAGGAAGCGCGCCGCGTCTAGCATCAAGAGCTCCAAAAAATTTGTAGGCTCAAAGCGTGAAAGTTAGTTTATCAATTACATGTAATACTTCACCTTTTTAATATTCTCAACATCACCACTTCTTCAATTTGTACTTCTCGGGGAATATTTCTCACAGGCTTTTGAACAGGTTTACCTCAATTGACGAGCATTTTACCAGTCTACCCGAGGAATATATTTTGAACTTATATTCCTGTCGCATTTTGCACTCAGAAGCCTACACTCACACCTCCTCGTTGCCGCCCGGCACATATATTCACAATGTCGAAGCATCGCCCTCGCATCCCGATGGGATCACTCAGCGACATGGCTTCAACTGTTCGTAACAAGAAAACTGCATCCAAAACTAATCCTCTCGGATCTACTCAGCTACAAAAGAATCAAAAGCTAGCCAAGGATACCAGTAGCGATGATGACAGTAGCACCAGCAGCTCTGACGACAGCGACCGAAGTGGCAGCGATAGCGAAAATGATCTCGAGGCTGCCAAGAGCAAGTACGCTGCAAAGCAGGCAACCAAGCGCAAGGTTACTGAACCAAAAGCGAACGCTACTAAGTCAGAACCTACCAAGACTATCCCGAATGCGGGCGCATCATCATCATCTAAAGTTTCTACCAAGGCAGCAGCTTCCAAAGTTCCGGATGATTCCGATTCCGATTCCGACTCCCAGAGTTCGGATTCTAGCGACAGCCCGGCCAAGAATGGCGCGGCGGTAAAGGGAGGAAATAAAGATGAGGAGGAAGCAGAGAGTGCATCGGACAGCGAGAGTGATGATGAAGATCCTAGTGCACAGCGCACTGCTGAGGCCGAATCTTCTAGCGACGAGGCTAGCGATAGCAGTTCCGATGATGATAGCGAGGAAGCGCATGGCATGGAGATAGATAGTGACGAGGTGGCCATTTCTAGAGTTAATGGCAATGATGCTTCCGAGGTGTAAGTTCTGGAGTCATAGCATCTATCTTGGTCGACTATAAGCTAATGTTGCTCTTCTAGTTCCCGGCCTGGTTGGCTTAATAGCTCTGAATTTGTGATTCGCAAAGCTTCATCCGACAACCCGGCCAAAGAAGTTGCAGAGTTTTTTAGCAAAACCAACTTGGAAGGGAAGCAGGTGTGGTATTTTACGGCACCAGCGTCATTACCAATTACTGTGCTCAAAGACATGGAGATTGATCTGTCCAAGGCGACTCCCGGAGAAGCATTACTAAATCATAAGGGCGACGATTACGGCCTAGATCTTGAGTCTCATGCTACTAGCACACAGATCCAGTTGCTTATCCCTTCACAAGGAGGGGATAACTATACTTCTCGTAAGTTGCGCCTCCTAGTTCCCCAATTTCAAACAGTAGTTAACAATTAGAAGTGAATCGTGGAATCGACTCAACTGTGCATCTCCGTCGCATAGCTAAATTCGGACCTGGTGGCACTGTCAGTGCTACTGCCACCGAGGATTACGCACCGATACCGAAGGCTATTCGAGAGCAGCCACAGGGCCTAAGACCCCGTTTCACCCCTATTGGCGTCCCTAGCTCTGTGCCACAGGTCCAGCCCTCAGAATCTCGTCCCGTGCCCACAGCGCGGGCAGATTCTTCATCTGAATCGGACAGTGAGTCAGAGAGTGCATCCGACGAAGACTCAGCGGTATTGCCTACCCCGACCAATGCGAAGAAATCCAAGAAACCAGCTGCTGTCAATGGGAAGCTGAAGCGAAAGCAACCCGAAGGAGAAGTCAAATCAACCCCAATTCAAGAACCTCGGTCTCAGGAGAAGTCTGCAAAGAGACCTAAGACCACTAAACCTGCCCCTTCCAAGGTTTCGAGCTCCAATAATAAGGAAACGCCTGTCTCGACCCAGAGACCAAACGGTACCCCCAGCAACAAGAAGGAAAAATCAAAGTACTCGATACAGCCAACGAAACAGACTCCAGTCCCTGTACCTAAAGTTTTTAGCATGAACCGATAAGTTGGGGAGCACTGAAGTTGCTTAGCCTACATTTTTGGGGCTTGCATCGACATTTTGTCACTTGTATACATTCAGCTAACAAGTGGTGGATCTATCGGGCAGAATTTGGCTTGTGGCATTATCGCGCACACGTCGCCGCCTATGTGCGAGATAGTTTACTAGAGGTAGGGAACCCAATGAAATGTGGTTTACCACCAAAATCGGCAGGCTCAGGTGCGTTTGCGCATGGATATTCCTATAGAAAATGACATGCGGCGTCGACGGAACGTGAATTATGGTAGTGTGGTCTTATCGCTCCTTTTCTTGAGATACCACAAGCGGTTTATCCGTTAGTCTTCGTCTTTTTCCTAGCACTCCTATGGATTGGGTGCGGCTGGGCAGGCCAATATCAAAAGTACTAGGTTAGGAAGTTAGCAATGGTAATTCAACAGATTTGATGCATTCCACCACTACAGTAATGTCAATTATGGCTTGAGCTATTTTATAGAGTATCCATTTGCCGGTTCGGAATCGCTATTTACTTAGGTACATAACCTTAGGTACTCTATGTTGATGTGTTTTTTATACAGGTAATTCAATGATACTAAGTATAACTTAGTATTATAGGTACCAGCTTTGTTGTCGGGGACTCTCCAGACCCGACGAAACCAGCCCAAACAAAGCCAATCGTGACTTAATTCTTGACCATCTCATTCCTCCTCATTCCCGTCTACATTGAATATGGCTCGGAATTACCTGGTAATCACACAACGTACGGCCTCCCATTCGTGTGGCACCGTAGGCCGAGTTTACGTGCCTTGGGACGTGAAATCCTGGCGTTTGCCGTTCCTATAACTCTAACTTAATAGGCCGTCCTAACAATCTACTTATTAGTAAGCTACGCAGACATATATAAATCAATTGGACGGATCGTCATATTGTTTGTTTTTCTCAGATTGATTAGGCTAGAATTTAGTTTTCGTCTTTGTAGGAGCGAGCCATAGGCTGCTAAGAGGTAGGTACATAACCTTGTGAGACTTCATAGGTACCTATCTGCCATGTTATCAAAACTCCATTGCTACCTAATAGCCAAGATCCCTATGATCCACGCAAATCAGGTTGTCGTCATTCATTTCTTCTCATTGCATATAGCATTTCCGCTATCCATATCCCCCATCATACATGCACCTTAGTGCTGCTATCGCCATACCGAACGCCAACATTATCAAGACTGCGGACCTAGTTGTATCGAGTTAGCTCATTACTAATAGATACTGGAAATCAATGAGATAACATTAAAAGGACAAGCCGCATCAGATAGGATAGTTATGCATCAATGAAGATCTCAGCCCCGTCTTGAAACATATTTTTGACATAGGTATCATCATAACAGCTGCCAGGTGCAAAGCGAAATCAAATGGAATTGTGTAACATACCGAGAATCACAAATGTAATAAATCAGCAGTTAACTGCACTGCTTAGAGACTCCCAACCACTGCTGTTCCAAGGAGCGACGAAGATCGCTGTTTGAGCATCGGCAACCTTACCAGTTCCCGCATACGCATCGGCAAGATCTATAGCACCTAGTTCTCCCCTCGGCGGTATAGCCTTCAGTGCCACGTTCAAGGCCATGTCTGCTGGATATTCTTCCCCGCTAACTTCGGCTAATCTCGACCAACCGTGTGGGAGATGCGGGTATAACATAACGTCGTTTTGAAGCTGGGTAAGGATATCTTCCTCTGGACTGTTCTCCGATAGGGCGGCTACGGCGCGGAATACTTCTCCAATTTGGGAATGCTCTGTATCAGTAACTTTATCACTGGTGCGGAGTGTTTGAAGCTCCGAGATAACGGCGTCCAGAGACTCCTCATCTTCATCAAGTAATGCTATGATACCTAGAAGAAGCACGGATTGTACGTGGCTTAAGTCCTTCTCTATCACATCAAATAGAATGGTGCGGGCTCTTTCTCGACCGTCATCCGTACCCGTAGCCCATAGCATCTGAGCTAGGACGCAGACTGCATCCGGATTGCCGTTAGATTCACTCAGCGCCGTTTCAAAGTATGACACAGCTGCATCAATGTTCTCAGAGAAATACTCTGCTAAACCGACCGTCAAGTGTGCTGATAATCTAGCTTTTCTGCGTTGTTCAGCTGTTAGTTCGTTTGCGGACTCATCGCTGCTTAATTGCAAAGCCATTTCTCCGCAGTCAATAGCTTCTGCGTATCGAGCAGCCGAGAGATAAGATCGAGCTAGGTCCGTTTTAGCTAGGGCAAACCGCCCGAGTGACTCCGCGGACTCGGTGGCTTCGTAACTCGTCTCCAACTGTTCACACGCCTTCTCAAGAGTTTCTATTGCTCTAAGGCTGTCGTTCGTTCGCTCTTGGTATAGCGTCGATAGATGCTGATACGAAAGATCTTGAGGATTGAGACGACGTAATTGAGTGAGTGCAAATAGTGGTTGGATGAGAGACGAAACATTTAAATCCGACGGACTTGCGAGTATGTAGTCGAATAGAGACGTGGGGTATTGGCGTCTAGTTAGGAGTGAAGATGACTCTGAGATATCCATTGCATGGGTGAATAAGCTGCGAGCTTCTTTAGGATCACCGTAAAGAAGGGCGACGAAGCCTTGACCTAGCCAGGCATGGGCATAATCGGGGTCATTGGACTGTGCTCGCGTAAAGGCTTCATTAGCGAGTTGAATGTCATTCTGGAGTAGTGCAAGAGCGCCAAGATTCGACCATGTATGTGGGCTTCTTTCATTGAGGAACAGGCTCCGGACAAATGCATGCTGTGCCACGGATGGATTTATTTCGCTCGTGACAACACCTAGCGAGTTCCAGAATTCCGGATTCCCAGCCTCTAGCTCAATGGCACGTTTAAAGCACCGGACAGCAGCTTTCTGGTATCTACTGGACTGAACTCGGAGCTGCGAAGGGAGGCAAAGGTGTGCACGGTTTTCGGCCCAGCCTAAGTTGTAATATGCAACCGCTTGAGCGTGAATATCGTTGGCCGACTCATGAATTGCTCGTTTGTGGGCTAATATGGTGGCATGTAAACATCGCGTAAGATCTACCCCAAGCTGCTCATCGTCTGGAAAGATGCCTTCAGCAAAAATCACTTCTTTGCCCACGTTATCGACATCTTCCAGTATCGCGTATGCAGACTTGTGTTCTGCACCAAGGTTAAGTAGTTTCCGGATGTTGTCAGTCGGAAAGTCATGTAAACGACTCTGGACAGAAGCAAAAATCGAGCATGAATCACCAACTACCTTCCAGAAATTGAATGTGCTGGTGATCTTCGTAGGCACGGTGAGCGCAAATGTCAAAGTATCGGTCGCCAATTCGACTGATTTACCGAATATGCCTTTCTCCACGCAATCTAAAGCATTTTCGACCATGGTCTGCATCATAGCTATTGCGACGCCTTCCTCTTCCGGCCGGGTTGAAATAACCCCATGGTACAAGGCGATGGCTTCATCGAATTCGCCAAGCTCACGCTTGACATTGGCAAGCATATACTTGGTAAACCAAGTGTCGCCGATCTTACTGTGATCCATCTGCTCTTCCAGCTTCTGCGCAGTCTGAATTGCCTTTGTTGCGGCAATATATCTTCCAGAGCTATGATAACTCTCCCCTAGACCGACCCACGAATGGTAATCTTCGGGAGCTATCCGCAAAGCATGTTGAAATGAGACGATAGCCTTGGAATAATCTTGCTTATTTAGCTCCGCGACCCCTAATGCAGAAAGAGGCCAGCTGATTCCTTTCTTTTTCGATCCAGGAGGTGGTCTGACTCTGCCTGAATCCACTACTCGCTGCGCCACTAACTCGACACGATCCCAATCGCCGTCGTCGGCAAACGACCGTGCCAACCTCTCGGCGGACTCGACTTCTGCTGAAGAGAGCTCTACGGCTTTGAGAAAGCATCTTCGGGCCCTGTTCTTATCTTTCGCATAATCTTCATAGTAGATCCCGAGACTACCATATGCCGGTGCATAACTGAAATTGCTCTTTAGTGCGTCTAAAAAGTACGCATACGCGCCGTTACGGCTCTTCCTAGCATCTTTTGAGCTGTCGAGATTCCAAATGCAGCAACCTAAACGATATTGCGTCTGGGCCAACAAATCTTTCGAAACCGAAGCACGCGTCATGAGTGGTAGGAGGGATTCGAGCTCTGCCTTGCCACGTGTATAATCGCCCTTCAATGAAAATAGCCAGCCAACCTCTGCACGCACACGAAGATTGGCACTATCACCCTTGAGTGCGCGCTCTAAGAACTCAATTGCTTGATCGTACTCCTCCTCTTCTTCGTAGATAAGACCAACGCCAATCATAGCAGAAGTTGACGTAGGATCTACCTCAAGTACCTTGTCGAAAAGGAACTTGGCTTCGCCGTGGTTTCTTGGAGATTGATAAAATACCAACGCGGTGCCTAAATAGAGCATGAAAGATTGATTAGCGTTCGTAAAGACCTTCCCGGTCTTTTCGGTTTCTGTGGTCATAATTTTCATAGCCTTTCTCATGAGCTCAACGTTGCTTTCATGTTCTTCCAAGTGCTGATAGTACTCCCCCATCAACCTGTGAGCGAGCAAAGAATTGGTAGTTGAAATTCCTTCTGTCATCATCAAGAGTCTATCTTCATCAGTGTAAGGGACCACCGATGTTGGCGCGCCGCCATCTTCATCGTCTTCGCTTTCATCATCGGCCTCGGACGTAGGTAAAGTAGCTGGAGCTTCTGGCTCTTTTTTTGGGAAAGGAGATAAGTCGCTCGTCATAAACCCGGTTAAGACACGATAGAGGTCAGAATTAGGAAAAAAAGAACAATATTCATTGAGCACATTGACGTCCCAATCCTTGATCTCTTTATGGTCCTGCCACTCGATTGCGATATCCCATGCGAGTTTGAATGGATGTTTGATGATAACCATGTCGTTTGCTAGTTTCTGGACTACTTGAAGCTCGGCGGCTTTGTTTGGAGCTGGAGTAACCAGAAGGCGATCATATCGAAATTGGAGTAACTTCTCCTCGTACTGACGCCTAACATCATCATCTTGAGTCCAGAGGATGAGCTGCTCGTAGATTTCGCCTAGCTCACTCTGACATAGGACTTCACGATTGACCTCGACGGTCACCTCCCTGATTTTAGCGCCTAATCTCGTACGCCGTTCGCCAATGAGCGTATTGATGCGTTTCTTTTCATCGACCTCTAGGATTTGAGCTATCGTTTCGTAAGTTTTGGCGGGATGAGGAACACGGCCCTCGAGAGCGGGATAGATGGGACTATCGGGGAGTATGAGACGAAGGGCCTGGATGTATTGAGTCCGATCACCACTGGTACGGGCAAAGTCGATGAACTTGTCAACAACATCTTGACACTTGTACATCTCATTAGCATCTCTAAAGATCTCGGCAAGCTTAAGAGCAGCCTGCTGGTACTTTTGGATGGCTTTTGGACCTTGCTTCTCGTAAATCTTGATTAGGCCTTGCCATGCTTGAGCATCGGATCGAATGCCGATAGCTGTCTTGTATGCATCTTCGGCTAG